ATGCTGAATTGAGATCAATTTTAGGCTGATTTATGGTTATTTAAGTTCTGAATTGATGCCGAATGATGCTATATTGAGGTCAATTTTAAGCTGATTTATGGTTATTTAAGTTTCGAATTGATGCTGAATGATGCTATATTGAGGTCAATTTTAAGCTGATTTATGTTATTTAAGTTTTGAATTAATGCCGAATGATGCTGAATTAAGGTCAATTTAAGGCAGATTTATGGTTGAATTTAATCTGAATGGCTATATCTGATTGGAGTCGATCAGCGTCTGAATTATTGCCAAATTGAAGCCAGTTTTAGGCTAATTTATGGTTGAATTTAAGTTCTGAATAACCATGTCTGATTGGAGTCAATCAGCGTCTATTAGCATCTGTTTGTGCTGATCGGAAAATATGGAAAATCAGCCATAAATAGTATCAAAATTGGCCTAAAATCGGCTATCTGATTTTTAGCTGATTTGGACTATTTCGACTAGTATGATCCTTAATACTTGGAATACTAAATTCTGTTAGAACATCAACAACATATAGACCCCATTTGTTTGATGTATTACATAAAATGTAAACTTTTACTTTAAGATTAATAAAGAAAATATAGGCTTAATAAACTTTAATAAAATTTATAGGTCAGATCTCTGTTACTTACGGTAGACAACAATTTCATATGACTGACTCTATAGAAGATACTTCTTGTTCTGTTGCTCCATGTGATATATAGTGTTGACATTGGTAATGAATAGAAATTTGCATACACTTAAACACTTTTTCAGTATCTTCGCTTAATTTTTTGATATCAGTATAAAGGGCGTTACCAACAACCTCTAAGAACCCTACTTCTAAAATAGTAGCATTTATATTGATAGAGTATATCCTGTCTTGGGAACACCCGATACTAACGCGTTGCTTATATTGACGAGTTTCAATCCTTTGAGTTTTGTTCGATTGGTTTTCTACTTTCCCTCTGTACAAAAGATAACTTGTCAGTGACCAGTCGTAAATAATAAACGGAAAATTTTTTAAAAGATAAATTCAAACCTACGTACATTTTTACTTTGATTAAATCTATGATGTCGTCAAAAACTTTAACAACAATGGGATTCATAAAGTTTTTCCAGTAAGAAAGTTCACTTTGATCTGGATCTAATAGTAGGTTAGTGGGTGCATCAAAAAGAAATAAACTAAAGAATAGATAGTATGAACTTTAAATTAAGTGTCACAAATAAAAATAACACTAATCGCGAATATTTATATTCACAACCGTTTATAAATATCTTGTATCCATAAGAGATCATGATGTTCTTTATGAATAAAAGGTCTAACATACGGTTTCTCTAGAACATCCTCAATAGTACTATCCAGGGAAATTACATCAAAAACAGATTTATTTTCTAAATGAGTTTGATATTTTTGGATAAGAGGAATTAGAACTTTTTCTCATTTATCTAAGCGAATTGTCTTTATTTTTTCTGATGGTTCTAACTGAAGGGCAAGCAAAATTATTAAGTTTTCAACAAGAAATGTAGCTTAAAAACAAACAATACAATACCAAGTCCTAAATATTTTTTAAGATGCGCTTTTCAGATTTTGATAATTTATTAACGGGATTCGTAACATTTTGTTCTGAGAGATTAATGATTCAATAGTCGAATAGACGATATTTTATACCTTTCATTTTTTCGATTATTTTACGAATTTTCTGCGGTACAATCTGTGAATTCTATGAAGATAGAACATAGTTAGAAATCTGATGAGGGTACATTGTAATATTAAAGTTGCGCAAATACCTCCTGAGATAATTTTAAGTACGTATTTTCGATATCAACTTCGTAATTTTGCATTTGTCCTATTGTCTGTGAGAAAACTTTTTCGAGATCGAAATTGGAACAAATGGAGTCTAAACCTGAAAACTCTTGCTCAATTGATCCCTCATTATAGCTTTGCTAGATCCAAGAGGATACAGAAGCATCTGATAAAGCACCACACGAAAAAATTCGATGTGGAGGAGTTTGTGGTGGCTGATCTTGTTCACATTGTAGAGTAACTGGAAAGTATTCATTTATTCTTATACGTTTTAAAACTTTATCTTTTGTTGAAATTTCCCCTTTAAAACCCGATTGTTTTTCATCCTTATAAGTTCATTTCTGTCCTTGAATAATATTACCAGTACAACCAATCTATACTTCGTCACAAGATAAAAATGTACTGTTAACCTTCATATCTTCATATTTAATAAAATTGCGACGTTTCATCCAGAAATTGTCGATTAGTCCCGTTTTCCTAGACTCAGCTTTAAGTAAATAAAATTTATATATTAATAAGGGTTCCCAAAAAAGTTGTAAATTAACAAGTCACAAATTAATATGCCACAAGCTGGCTACAACAGAGATGCAGTCCATAACCATGCGAAAACGCAGTTCCATAGGTAGCTGTAGCCAACAGCGGAGACGCAGTCCATAACCATGCGAAGATGCAATTCCATGGGTAGCTGTAGTATTGGAGAGACGAAACATAGAGACAAAGGTAGGTGGCTACTGAATGTGGCCCATTAATCTACAGTTATTATAGCTTATGAAAATATATTGACCTTGAATTGCTCCTCGAGACGTATTGCATTTTCCTTTTCCTTCTCTGTGCCTTGTGATTTTATAATTTCTAACTGTTTATGAAAACTTCTTGTTAGACTAAACCTAAATTACTATTTTCTCATGCTTTATGGTATCGAATAGCATCCCAAGATTGACAAGAAGTATTCAAGAAGTATTCAAAACTAGGCTCGCTGAAGTTAGTTATCATGATTCGTAATGAAAAAAAGATATTACTTTACTTTAAAGATTTAAGCTAAAAAATTTTATTGGGAGAGGACCCCCTTGCTTTTTATATTCATATTCGATATCAATATTTCTATAAGGAGTAAAAGTGCATTTGAAAAATTTCCTGATAATTATCAAAAATCAGTATGCTATCGTTTTTTCTAATGAAAAACATTTTGATCTGTGGGTTAAAAGCATAGCAAAACTTTATTAATTTTTCAGTGAAAAAAATGTTAGAGAAGCGAGTAAAATATGTTGATGCTATCAAAGAGGAAGGGAGTACGCGGATCCTAAGTCATAAATGAGAATCCCAGCATCAAGTTATTTTGCAATATTAACTCCACCGATACTTCCTCTAATGCTACCACTACTGCTACTGTTGTTACTACTGCTATTATCAGAAAAACTAACTGATTTCTTATTTCTTTCCTTTTCAACCCATTTGATAATTTTATCTATAGAAGTTTTTTGATGATGATAAAACTAGTTAATGTACTAGCACTAAGTCCAATTTCGATCGATAAAATATTGTATAATTGTATTGGTGAACGAGCTTCTCTTTTTCTTCTATTATTAAAAAGAACAGTAAATTTGATCCAGTATGTTTCATATTCATCCGTATATTCAGAATACTACTCCATAGAAACGTGACTTGTGGAAGAGAATCAGTTTGATTTGACTAAAAAAAATAAGACACAGTTTGGCGCAGATAAGTATATATGTATGATGTGATATTTTTTCTTTCTCTGTAACGCATAACTTATCTTGAGATATTGCATCATTTTTCCATTTGGCTTTTGTATGCATTCTTTGAAATTCGTTGCTTAATGTTAAGACTGTTCTTTTGAGATTATTGTCTCCTGATCACATTAGATATTTGTGAAAAAAAAGATAGCAACGGCAAAGATTATATAAAATGTTTATGTTTCCCAAAAAAATGCCCTAAATCATATCTATTGTAAGGATATCATGGGTTACTATCTCATAAATTACAATTGTAACACTGAAGATTATGATTAAGAAAATATCTGTGTTTGAGAATATTTTTTAGATAGATTTTTGTTTTATTAATTTTATATGAAATTGATATTTTTTTACTTTGTTGGAGAAAAAGAATTACCAAAGCGCTTCTCTAGAAATAATCCTTTTATATATTTTACAATCACCTGGCATATAGATGTCTGCTGAAATCTCCTCAAAATAATTTTGTCATACCCTTATCTATATTTTTAATATAGTTTCGACAGTTTTGGCTTTCGTCATATCTCTAATTATGATTTTAGTATAGTTTCGTCTAAGTTTTGACTGTTATTAAAGGGTTTCGTTCCTCATCATTAACCTGGCAAAATAAATGTCCATATACACTAGTATAGAGAATTTGTGTCAAAATATAGATCTGGATCATTTGACTAAAAGCGTTGTGTATGAAAATGATATCATATATACACTTCTTATTTCTGAAAAAAACAAATTATTAAAATTCTATCTGACGCTTGTATCTAAAGATAAAAAAAGTTAGTGTATTCTCATATTTCCATATTCTCATAACATGTTTTAAACAATGAAAATAATAATATTTTTTCATAAATTCTTGACTGAGAGGTCTTATGTAAGAGAAAAGTTTTTTATTAATAAAAAATATTGAAATATTTGTTAGGTAGCTTTGCTATTATGTGAGTACAGTATGTAAATAAGCTATATTATAAAGTACTATTCTCTTATTACATTTTTATCTAAAAAAGAATGAAGGAAGAACTAGATATCTATCTAGATTTTTTTTTACTTCAGATATATAAGAAAGTAGAACTTCTTTCATTCGTGATGCAGTTCACTATAAAAAACCTTCATTATCATAAATAAATGCAAATTAAAACATGAAGTCTGTTGAAAGAAAATAGGTAGGGTATTTATAAAAAATATCAGACAGATCTGCATAAATATTTTTGCGAAAAATTAGCTATTTTAAGAATAAAATTATTAGAAGCAATGGCGTAAATTTTCTGATAACCCATGATCATCAATAAGCGGACTACTGTAATCCATATTCTTGATTATGTAAATGATTTATAATAATACTCTAGCCCTTTTTCAAATATAGTATACTGTTTATTTGTGGGCTGATAAAACTGCTAAAAAATCATAATAGTAATATACATTTTCATTTTATTCTAATAACACAATCAGCAAAATGCTTTACTACACGTTAAAATGAGAATTTAAGTTGATTAAATTAGATGAAATAAAAATTATATACCATTTATCATATAACACTACAAAAAATTTGGAATAAAGAGTTTCTAAAAACTAATTAGACTATATACGTAATTGATTACACTAATAAAACTAGAATAATAACAGCATTTATCTAGAAATCTGCAAATCATAGATTTTAATCAGTTCTATTTTCATTTTTGAATTTTTTTTAACGATGCCTTGTCTTACGATCTGCAAAATGTAAATCAGTAATGTAATTTTTTATTAGTAATTCAGAATTGCATAATGAGTGAAATAGAACATACCAGAACTTTAGAGAAAGTTTATCCATATAGCAATACAAAAATATTGCTGTAGGATGCTAAAAGAAATATAGATGATGTTTGCATACTATCTAAGCTACCTACGTGATTTTAGATGAACTGAATTTGCTAAAATTTTACCAAGAAAATTTTATGTGACTTTGGAAGAACATTTTTTAGAAAATGGTTATTTATTCACACATTTCAGAACTCTTATTTTTGGCATCATTAAGCAAATATACCACCCTTTTCGTAGCTATCACTTAGTGTAATGTCGCAACTGATCTATGACTTAACCATCCTTTTTTACCTTTCTCTATTTGAATGATGAAATCAGTTATGTAATTGTCTATTTTATTTCTATAATATTCTGCTTTAGAGACGAGTCCATCTTGATTGGATACATCACAAAATGCCTTTATACTAAAGAGTTTTCTCATTAAGAAGTGATATGCTTTTTCTCTTAGATCATTACATTAGTTTTTGAGCTTAATCAAAAGATTAATAAAGTTATCAATTCAAGGCATATTTTTTCGATCATATAATAATACTTTATAAACTTCATCAATTATTAGACCTTGATGAATAAGTTCTCGCAATTCTATATCTGTTACTATAAGACTTCTAGATTAGGTCTCATTAGCTAATGTTGAAGTTTCTAATAGTGTAAATTAAATATGTCTTTTATTCTTTTTACGAATCATATTCTTGACTTTAGAAGAGTAAATTCAAAATCTTAAAAGAAAAAATATTATAGAACATGTGATATAAATATTGTAGAGAAGAATTACTGTGTACGATATCTAAGCCATTCATGTAGTTTAAAAAATATATGCGATAATTTAATTTATATAAGTATGTGATTCATCTTAAAATTTACCTAAGCAGTTACCAGTGTGATAATAGGACTCATTATTAGTGAGAGTTTTCTTTTGTATCCTCCATCATGATAGTAATAACTTCTATTACATTCACTATATTCATTATATCTACTATATCCATCATAACTATCATCATCTAATTTATCTAACATCTCTTCTTCAAAACTATTAGAATTATTTTTGTTGTCTGATCTACTTTCATCTGTTTCTTTCTCTAATTGTAAAGCAACCTCTTTATTCGTTTCTTTTACTGACTAAGATATAGAATCAAAATACATACAATCCTTTGCAAATCTTTCAAGATCATTTTGTAGTAATTGTTCTCAACTAGTATGAGTATAGTTGATGTACATACTTCAGACTTTTTAGAAACCTCTTCAGTTAATCTATTCATCTCTTCTTCTTCTTTAAAATAATCTGTAAAATCTGATGTATCATTAAAATTATCATTTGAATTATGAGTTGAAGTAATAGTTACATTCTCAGAGATTTCGTCTACATGACTTTGATCAGCGATTGTCTTCAATTTAACCTATTCTATAATATAATCAATTTGGAGATTAGTGAATTCTATCAGTACTATAAGTGACCTGCTGAATTATATGTCTGCCTATACCTTTTATCTTTTGCAGAGTTACAGGATCATATTCATAGCCAAATAGCTTATTGATTTTTCTTGCTTTGCTTGTTATCTTGTATAAATATACATCAGAAACTCCTATAAGATACAGTTTTATTTCATCATAAATTTGTTTTCTTACGGTCTAATCTGTAAGTTTTTTATCTCCAGACCTAAGCTTCACAACCTTGTCTTTGAATTTTTCAGAATAGTAACACCATAATAAAATCTCTGTTTGCTTTACTGAGATCATTTTATTTCTTGCAATATTCGTTTGGTAGAATAAATTAGCAAGTCTCTTAATACTTATCGATCTGAGAACTATGATTTTAGGAAAAGAAAATTTTACATGATTTAGAAGTAGATTGTCAGATAAGAGAAGCTCTTTCAACAAATCTTATACAAATTCAGTAGTTATATTTGAGAAATTCTGGCTATTCACATCATTTATAATTAGTGATAAGCTATTAGAAGAAGAATTTTCAGAAAATCTGTGAATTTAGTTCACAGATTTTGTGTTATATGATAAATTTGAATCAGCAATATTTACTATTTTATTTGTACATGAAGGGAATACCAAGGGTTTCGGGTTGGGAATAAAATCCTAGACACCTGTTTCACACTAAAGTTTCTTCTTCTTATTGTATTACCTAATATTATCATCAATATTTTTTTTACTTATCTTGATTAGAAAAGTGTCTATCTCCTTATCCTCATTTGCTTTGCAAATATGGTTTACACCTGAATTAAACTTAGATGAGTTGTCGTTAAGAGTATTATCATTTTG